CCTGAGTTCAATTCCTAGCATCCACATGGTAGTTCAAAGCCATCTGTAATGAGATCTGGTGTCCTTTTCTGGCCTGCAGGGATACATGCAGGAGGAATGATGTATACATAATAAATAAATCTTTAAATAAATTAATAAACCTAAAAAATATGATACATCTTTGTATCATTAAACATATGTTCTACAGCATAAATGAATGCAGAATAAACTGATATTCCACATAGACCATCATCCTTAAACCCTTTTCACATTACATCTTGAACAATTGAAATGGAGATAGGGTGAGCAGGAGGTTTACACAGCAAAGACATTGTCAGGATTATTCTTAAGTATACCCGTGTTGTTCTTTTCAAATAGTTGCCACCCAGGTTCACCTTGCCCACTTGGCAGAATTATGCTTTTCCTATGAAGAGACAGAGTCAATGGCAGGCCAGGCCTTAGGGATGGTTGTGGCCCTGCTCTGCCCTTGAGTGGTCTCTTAGAGGTACAATATTTGATAGGGCCATGGACCTAATGGCTGGTTGTAAGTCACGGTTGTCTCCTTTTGTTATGGGGATGGAGTCTAACTGGAGGTCAGCTCAGTGAAGAAACATTACCAGAAACTTCTTTAGGACCTGAAACTTTAATTATGGCACAAATTTTTCTTTCTTACAGTTTGCAGCCAGCCTGATTGTACACTACTTTTCTTCAGTAGTATTGGAGGCAGCGATCCCTTAGCTAAATGCTACTTTGTATAACTAAATATTTCCTAAGCAAGTTTATTGTTAAATCCTTTATAGCATCAATCTCACTACTTCAAATATGTTGGTTTTATTTCCCCCCAAATGACTGAATACGTGTTTTTTCCCCTTTGCTCCGTAATTTCTTTTATTTATTTATTTATTTATTTATTTATTTATTTATTTATTTATTTATAGGTTCCCTTAAAAAGGCATGGAATGGGGCTCTACTATCAAGGCCATTTCACTCCCTATGTTTCTCTCTCCTCGGTGGTTCTCTTTCGCGGTAGCTTCGCCCTTGGGCTCTTCCTCTCCCTAAGGGCTCCCTGTCACCGCCTCCTTTCGGGCTAGGCTGCCCTAATCAAAGATGGCGCCGGCGCTTCAGCTC